TCATGATGCACAACACCCTAGTAATAAAAAAAAACAGTCAGTATCACCTTCACATTGCTCCCAACTTGTTGTGCTTTTTCAGGCCTCGCAGATGTCAGATGCTTCCATTGTGATGCCTGGACCTTGGTTTCCGGGTCATATCCATATACCCATGACTGGTCACCAGTGATCACAGTATTCAGGAACTCAAGATCCCTGTTGGCGCACTCCAGCATGTCCTGCGCAACCTCAAGACGGAGTTGTTGCTGCTCCAGCGAAAGCAGCTTGGGCACAAATTTAGCTGCCACTCTTCACATGCCCAAATCCTCAGTTAAAATTGTGTTGCAGAACCTCTGCTGATCCCAACCTCATCAGCAACTCCCAGATGGTCAAACAACGGTCCACCATGATCAATGTCCGCACTTTTTCAATGATATCAGCATTTGTGCTCATTGACGGTCTCCCAGAATGCTGGTTACTGTCAGACGACATACAGCAGTTGAACCACTCTTCATTTGAGTGACCCCCATTGCATCATCACCAAAAGCCTGCTGAATTTTGCGGATTGTTTCCGCTTGGGTATTCCCAAGTTTCTGACAAAACTTGATGCAGTATCGTTGCTCCAGGCATTCTGTCATCTTGAGTGAAATGAGAATGCGACAAACACGTGTTACACCACTTCGCTATCTGGCAGTCACAGATGCATCCGGCGGTGTTGCGAGTCAGCAAAAAGCAAAAAATCACACATGCACATGAAAGTCCCTTCTACCACTATGCTTAGTTTCCCCACCCCTTTGGCCATTACTCACAGCAGCAAAACATAAAGTCAGATACTTTTTGGACAGCAGCTTATTGACATATTAATATAAAGACGTTACATTGCAACAAAAGCCATTTTGAAAACTTAACAACACAGTAGGAACTGCTGTCATTTCTTGAAGTATTGAATGTTTTACTATTGAAAACTGTACTGGAACAGCTACAGAAGCAATGAAAATTGTGGTATATAAGTAAACAATTTTTGTAGTAGGAAGTTATGTCACCTACAGAGGCAGACGACAACCTGGGATCCTTCTTTCTAGAGACATAATGCAGTATGCTTTGATCTAGTCTTTGTTAATCTGATCTGATTTCCTGACTTCCCACACAAAGCTGATCTCATAGTATATGTGTCTGTGTTAGCTCATGCATGATTCATTGCTTGGCATTTATCCAGTGGAACTCATTGAAGCTATGAAGACCTCTGCACAAAATCAGAAATGTTCTATTGCAATACAGTTTAGCATACTTTGAAACATATAAACATAAATTCTCAGTCTTCACAACAGAAAAATTATTTGTTATCACAAATCATACATTGTGCACCCATTCATGAAAGTTTTCACTTGGATTTCCTCCCCCATATTGAGCTGCAAGTAATCAGAAGAGAGGGTGTTGCTTTGATTTGTATGTGTCCTCGGGAGCACTGTAGCTGTTTGAGTTATGGTTAATTTG